AAATTGTACACATCACGGTTTGTTTCACTTATTTTGGCTGATAAGACATGTCCTCAAGTGATTGTGTGGGCAAGTAGATATTATTTTTTTGACAGCTTCCCATCTCTGCTAGGGCATCCCACTTTACACGGTGATGCTAAGGGAATGCACTTCTTCACACAGAAGTCACCATTCTCACATAAGTGGCAAATAGAAAACATAAAAAGGGCTTGTTTAGGTCGCTTGTTGGTAATCACATTACAGGAAAAGATGACTTTTTGACCACTGTGGCCATGAAGCTTGAAAATACGAGCACTCAAACGTGTTAGCGACACATAACAAAATCATGGCAGGTCCATTCCCTTGATCGGCAAGTGGAGTGAACTGGTGAGAAAAGGCAGTTTTGCACTGGCAACAAGGGGAAACTAATGAAGACAAATTAAAGCTTGGATGCCAGCAATGCACAAATATAAAACTGAAGGGAAATGAGGTCTGAGACTAGTGCCGACTAGTAAAATCATTGCATGCCACGCTAAGTATTGCAGTTTCATGTAGCCCCCAGCATAGTTCCACCCACCTTCAGGCTAAGCCGAGGTCGAATCAACTACTAAAAACAAACTTTCTTTTATAAATGCAAAAACAAAAAGCCTCTGTACTGAGCTATTACAGTACAACCAAATATTAAGCAGATATTAAATTTCACCATCAGTTCCTACTTTATTCATTTCCATAATTTCTGATGTCATACTCACAATCAGAGAAACTTGGCTGCATCTGTTTCACGGTCTTCTTCTGTGCCAAAGGCATTACATAAATTCAGGACACGTAGTTTGAATGGCTGTGTAATCAAGCTACTGTTCCCAGAATAAACATTAGTTTGTAGGTTATATGCCAATTATAAGTCATAATAACATCATTTCTTAGTAACATATTAGGTGTTATAAGGTCGTTAAGGTATTAAAATAGCATCATATAAGCTGAAAGCTCAGGTTTCAGGCTGCTCTAAACACTGTTTTTTTCTACTCCTAGAACTTCGTGATGTCACAGAAAGATACCCCGCCCACCTGCTATTCACACTAAAATATTTTGTTTCATACGCAGGTGATCTGAAGGGCTTGATACTACCCACTGCTCAATGGTTTTTATTCCACTTGACATGCTTTACTGCTAATATAGAGTATCTGATAAGTTTTCAAAGTAAAAGACTGAGTCACTGCAGATTAGGTCCTGAAACTTAACATCCTGAAATTCAAACTTCTCTAGTAGAGTCCAAGAATAGAAAATGGAGATGGAAAAGATAAATCCCATTTATGGTCAGTAAATATTTTTTGAACGTTTATGCCTATTTATTATACGATTAAAAGAGGAACAATTAAATATATTTAAATAAATAAACATAATTTAAATATAAATATATGTAATATTTGCTTTGTCACTGAACATAGTTTGGTCTTCATTGTAAGTAGACTGTCAAGCGCTCAGTCTGAATGTGTTTTATCGGTCTGTCATTGACTATCTTTGATATGTTCCCTGCCTCTTGCCCAGTGTATTCTGGGATAGACTCCAGCCCTCTGTGACCCTGAGTGGGTATAAGCTGATGTAGAAGATGGATGGATGTCCTGGCTGCAGGTAGAAGTCATTTTCCAAACAGCTAAATGAGCCATTTGTCACAGGGGTCAGCCGTGACTTTGACCTATGGTTGTCAGCACAATTTGGCTTCTGTTATGCAGAGCAGGTTGTTTCAGCACAGAGGAGTCAACTCTCACATAAAATGTAGACAATGGACTCAAAGGTGTGAGGAGCTAAAATCAACAGATCATTTAAAACAGAAACCCGTGTGACAGCTATTCCAAAAAAAAACAAAAGACTGAGTACCAATCGATTATTCTTAACCATGGGCTGGATGACTGAAAACCTACACAGACCTCATGGACGAGCTAACCACTGGGTTAGATTTCCCACAGAAGAAAGGCCACACACCATACCTAAATGCATTTGCAATGTTTTCATTGTTTCTGAAAACTATTGGGTGCAAACATTTGTGGATGGAGAGGAGGGGCAGTAGACAAGGAAGAGCGGAGAAAGCAGGGGCAATGACACGCAGGAAACGATCGGAGAAGACTCGAACCCCGGCCCCTGCAGCTCATTTGGTACGTGGGTTGCTAGCTTAACCACGTCAGCTCTAGCAGCACCAAAAAAACAATAATTTTCTAACGCATAAAACATATAAGAGAATTCCATCTTAAAAACCAGACTATTTCTAAATAGGAACATAGCCCTCGCTCAGTTCTCCTGTATGTGTGAGCAGAAAGGTTTAAGAAGCACACTGGACAGGTCACCATACTATCACAGAGAGACAGACAACCACTAATGCTCACGAGATGGCGTAATGACCGTGAAAGCCATAGACAGAACTTTGACATGAATTGAGCTGCGGTTTGGCAGCCTGGCAGATCCTCATGTACTAAATAGGAGTGAAGAAGTTGAAGAATGGAGAAGAAGGAGGGAGGGAGGGTGGGGCACCTACACGAGAATGAACAGATTGCAGAACTAGGGGAACCCATATAGATGGCAGGCGGAAGGAGCGTGATTGGAGGCGTGGTCCTGCTCCTGAAATTCAGATACATAATCTCCAATAAAGTAATCGTTTGAGTCCAAACTATTACATTAGGTTATGCAACATTAAGGTTGCATAAACCACCTCATCCTTTGTGTTTTAGAGCTGCACATCAACAAGCGCATTTGTAATGAACTTCAAAAAGTGAGCAAGATTCAGAGATCCTACTTGGCAGCCATGTGCATTTGCCCGGCTTTGGCTCTGTATAGCAAAAATGTGACCACTAGACTGAAACGCTGCGGTTCACTGTTGTTTGTACAGTGTAGTACACAGGAGCAATGTAGACAACATTTATCAACAAGCAACAGGCAGTGGTATAGTAGTATGGCTGTATTAGCACCTCTTACACGTGTTGGGCTATTATTAGTTCTATCATCAGTAAAGCTGTTGGATTCAGTCAAATAATTAACTTTAAAATCCATCTATTCATATAATGGATAAGAAAAGCAAAACTCACCCCTGTATAACAGAAGCAATAACAAAATCTTGACACTGGAAAAATCTGATGCAGATGAGATTACTCAAACTATTCTCTGATTGCCAAAAATGGAAAACTTTGAGTTGATAACCTCACCTCATCTGTACTTCCTGTTCTTACATAACCAAATCTGACATTATGTGCTCCTCCCTTTTATGTTCTTTGGTACAATAAAAAAGTGGTACATAAAGCAATACCTTTTGAAAAACAACCATAAATAACTCTCACTTGGTCACATGGCCCAGCCATATGGTTTAAATCTGCACTACAAAGACTCCCCCAGTACGTGGCAAAAGCACTCTATGAACAGTACGAGTCGCTGAGCTTCCATGGCTCAGGATGACACACGCCGTTGCAGTCAACTCAGCAGCTACAAGCCTTAAAATATGCCTGACCCACACACTTTGCATAAACAATGTTTTGGATTTTGCCTCTTGCCATAAGCCACATTATGTAAGTGCAAAGTGTGAGGTATCAAGAGGAGATGGCCCTGTGCCAAGAGTGTGCTGTGATGCTGTGGGTGCAGGTGTTGAGAATATCTCGCGTGAAGAGTTCCTCTGAGGATAGAAAGCGCTCCGTGAGATAGATTATCACATGCTGATGCAGTGTTAGCGTGCAGAGAAACGCTGAGAAGCAATGACAGTGAGTGGCGAGGTGTCTGGTTCGATTTTATGAATACAGACGCATTTAGATTTGACTTAAGATGGGAACTGAGCGTTGATGTCATAGCACCTTTTGATGCATTCTGTAAGTATTCAGAAGACTGAAAAGTCTTGAGACAATCAACTTTTGTTTTCTTGACTTTTCCCAGCATGCAACACAGTTTTTAGAGTTTAAACAGTTTTTTGTTTGTTGTTCTTACTGCACTACTTCTCTATTGGAAATAAAGGCCTAATGTGCCTAATGTATAAATATGCGGTAAATCACTTCAAATTTTAAACACAAAGATGTGCTTTAAAACTTGTAGTACTCTGCTTTGATTGCTTATTTGAAAAGTTCAACTGCTTGGCACAGGATGCCTCTTATTTCTCTAAGTTTGACTTATTTCTTGTGCATTGGAAGCTTTTAGTTTCCACATCCCACTTGTGTAAATGGCATATTTAACTTTGACTGGCTCTCAGACTACTTCATGTCACACAGTCCTGCTTGTGCATCCATGTCCTAAACTAAGATTTAGTGTAAGCACTCAGAGAAACTTTCCTCCTTCAGCAGATGGTTGTAAAAACATCCGTCTAGTGCCAGACACACACACACAAGCACGCACACACACAAGCACCCGCACATTCAAGTGAGGAACTTGTTTCTTGTTTTTTTCCTCATCTGAAAAGCGAAAACTGCGATTTAAAAATCTTTAACTAAAGCATTTGGAATTATAAAAGCAGCAGTTCAGTATATAACAAAACAGAACAAGTAAACAAGTAAAATGATCTTTTGATGTGCAGCAAAGCAGGGAGTAAATTCTGCAGCACTTTGCCATCATACTTAGAATTTAGTTTTGCAGAAACACAATTCCTGGTGTTAGATCTTTCCAAATATTTGGCACAAAATCACAGCAATCTGACTTATGTCACCTTATTAGTTTTGCAGTTATTGGTTTTGCATATGACACTTGAACACAGCTTAAATGTTGTACAGCAGAAACATCAACTGGCCACATGAAGACTGGAAAAATGTGCGCCACATTCCTCCAGCGTCTACAGGGCTTTACGCACGCGCATTCACGCGTGGTTCTGTTGTCAAAGTAACACGGGAGTGTTTGAAAATAAAAGTGAGGGTGTCGTGCTCGGAATGAAAGTGTTTTTCTCGAGATGGGACCTTGTTTAGTGGCATATATTTTCCATTAAAAACATGTGACTGGCGCTGTTTTGATCATTACAAGGTTGTTTTTTAAAAAAAAAATTCACACACAAGCTGTGGGCCACATACCTTGGAAGACATCCACATCATGACGATCCTCCGAGCTCGCAGATAATCGCAGTCCTCCTGGGGGGTGAGGCGGGGGGGGGGGGGGGGAAGGAATTGTGCACGAAGTCCAGCAGACAGGAGAGAAAATTGCTCGCAAGCTCCCTTCCAATGAGTTTCCACGATGAGTCATTTTTGCTTTAACTTTCCATCTGCCTCCTTGTAAAGGGATATTGTCATTTTGAGGTGGTTTAAATGAAACTGGGGAAAACTGCTGTCGCCGAGTTTCCAACAAGCATGTCCATACAAAACCTGGGGCGAGTCATTTCTCCAGCCATTTTATAAACTGGTGATTCCTGTGCTTAGCTCTCGCAGTGGGTCAGCAATAGAAGGCTTTTTTTTTTCTTTTGGCCTGTTGTGGAAAAACATAGTTGTGTAGGTGTCATAGAAATAACTGTAGCCCTGGTTTACTAAATGCTGTCTTATCAGTTAGCTTTTCTTTAATGTTAAATACTGGAACAGTTACAAAAGACTTATCCGTATTTTCGTTTCCAATTTTTTCTTTTTTCTTTAGTTTTACTGGCAGCATATAAAGGGGATTATTAATATCCTTAGTCTGCTCTCTGTGAGGAAGTTGTTCAAACATTCTTTAGCGAAGTGGTCAGAGGATTACTAAATACGCGCCACTTTCATGGCCTACAGCTTCTGTCTCTGAATACAAATCTGTCAAAACCCAGCGCAAAAAAAAAATCTACATTAGTGCAAACAGATTTTGAACTTTATTGCATAACAGCAAAAACGATCATCCCTATATCTGTTATTGACAGATGAAACTCATAAAGTGCGAATGCATAGCCTGTCTTTACTAGAATTTCAATTTGATGTCAGATTTGGAAGCCCGCACAGCTTAGATGAACAAATAGACTGGTGTGTGGTGAAGATGGTTTGGGGGAAAGGCTGCTGTTAGAGAAGTGCGCGATGGTTAAAAACAGGAGAAAGAGAGAGAAGCATCACAACCTGCCAATCAGTGGCATGAATGTGCGTGTGTGTGTGTGTGTGTGTGTGTGTCTGTGTCTGAGGCGTGTTTCAAACTTGTGTTGGGGATGTGAGGGCGGGAGGGGGTCACCTGCTGTTGGGCAGAAATGATGTTCAAAATTATCTTTATAGGGCGTGTTCTTCTTCTTCAGGAAAAATAATTAATAATAATAAACTCTAATTGTAATCACACGTCAGTCTGAATGGATTTTGAGTTAGTACTGTTTTTTCTGCTTATGTCTGTGCCGTTTCCTTTACTGGGGCTCTTGTCCAGCCCGCAAAGCGACTCCGTCACCCCCTCCTCCATTTCCATATACTCCGCTTTGTCACCGAGCGAGGAGCCAGAGGGCGAGCCTTTGAATTTTCTTAGAAAGTCAGGGAAGTACGGGCAGCCCGGGGGCATGCTCTCCACCACCGGCGACTGGTCCTCGTTATCGGTCTCCCTGTGATAAAAGTAGTTGAAGTTGGACACTATGACCGGGACCGGGAGCGCAATGGTTAACACGCCCGCGATCGCGCAGAGGGAGCCCACTATCTTCCCACCCACAGTGATGGGCTTCATGTCTCCGTAACCCACTGTGGTCATGGTCACTACAGCCCACCAAAACGCGTCCGGGATGCTCGTAAACTGCGAGGTGGGTTCGTCCGCCTCGGCGAAGTACACCGCGCTGGAGAACAGGATGACACCTATGACCAGGAAGAAAATGAGGAGGGCCAGCTCCCTCATGCTGGCACGCAGGGTGTGACCCAGGATCTGCAGCCCCTTAGAGTGCCTGGACAGCTTGAAGATGCGAAACACCCTGACAAGGCGGATTATTCTCAGGATGGCGAAACTCATCGCGTGCTGTCCGTTGCCCTGATGCTGCGCCAGGTCCGTGCCGAGAGTAATGAAATAAGGCAAAATGGAAACAATGTCTATGGAGTTCATAATGTTTTTAAAGAAGAGAGTTTTGCTCGGACTGGCAAAGAAGCGAACTATAATCTCAAACGAGAACCAGATGATGCAGACCGTTTCCACGACGAAAAAAGGGTCGTTAAAAGGAGTAAATCCGTGATCTGCTTGAGAGGAGTTGTTTCGTGGCTGTAGATACTCTTTGTCATCCCTGAACTCCGGCAGCGTCTCCAGGCAGAAAATCACAATAGAAATGACAATAACAAGGACGGACACGACCGCGATCCCCCTGGCAGGGCTCGAGCTCTCCGGATACTCAAAGAGCAGCCAAATCTGGCGCTTGAACTCATCCTCCGGCAGAGGTTTCTCCTCCTCTTTGACGAAGCCCTCATCCTCACGAAACTTTAGTATCGCCTCCTCCCCGAGTTCATAAAACTTGACCTCCTCGGAAAATATGTCAAATGGGACGTTGACTGGTCTTTTTAAGCGCCCGCCTGACTGGTAGTAGTAAAGAATGGCGTCAAAACTCGGTCGGTTCCGGTCGAAGAAGTATTCGTTCCTCAGCGGGTCGAAGTACCTGATCCTCTTGTCCGGATCTCCCAGGAGCGTGTCCGGGAACTGAGTGAGCGTCTTGAGCTGAGTTTCAAACTTCAGACCCGACACGTTGATGACAACTCTCTCGCAGCAGCCGCACTCGCTGTAAACGTTTTCGTATCCGGACTGGGGCCGCCTGTCGGTGATCGACACGGTCTCCTCCTCATCATCCATGTTGCACAAAAAACTCGACCTTTTGCTCCCCCGGTCGCCCCCGCCCCCCTCCCCCTCCTCCTCCTCTTCCTCGGCTCCTTCGGCCTCTTCCTCCTCTATCATGATGTCCTCCTCGGATCCGAGCAGAGCCAGCTCGGAGTGGCGCAGGTCCCCACCGAGAGTGCCCCGGTTCCGTCTCCAGCGTCCGACGCCGCGCTGCTTTTTCCGCTCTCGGACAAATCTCTGCTGCTGCTCGGGCTCCTGCTGGTTCTGCTGCGAGGAGGAGGTGGAGGTGGTGGTGGTGGAGGTGAAGGAGGAGGGGGAGGGGCGCGAGGCGGTACCGCCGCTGCTGATGTTGGCGTTCGCGGAGGAGGCGGCGCGAGACTGATGCTGGCGGTTGTTAAGGAGATGAGCGCTCGAGGAGGTGTTGGAGGTGGACCCTCCGACGCCACCGCAGCTACCTCCTCCTCCACCTCCCTCCGTGCACGTTCCACCTTCGGCAGCAGCCGCTGCGGCCGCCGCTCTGGTGTGGGCAGCCTGGCGCTCCCTCTCGCGCTCCCTCTCCCGCGCGCGAGCCTGGGCATATCCGTAAGGCAGGTGGCTGTTGCACCCACCGTCCGCGCCCACCATGGCAAACTCCATTTTAAGTCAGTGAGCGCTTCGGTCCGCGGACGCTTACAGTAAGCGCTCGCGCGCTGTGATGTGGACGCAGACCAGAGGACAAAAGTTGCAGCTCAGCGCGCGCAGGGAGACAAAATGAAGCATGAAGCCTCTCGACCAATCAGTCGTGAATGCGAGAAAGTCAGAATAGCAAACACACCTCAGATGGGTCCATGCTGAGCGAATCCCATGTATCCTACTTACATGATACTGATTGCCATCTCTTCCAGTTTAGGTACAGCCCCCCCTCCTCCGGTATTTCATGACATCATTACCATATCCAAAAAAAAAAGAAGAAGAAGAAGAAAGAAGGAAAAAGATCAGATGTAAAGGCCGGTGGCATAGCCTGTTACGCAGACGCTCGGTCAAACTTGCAGCGCCCCTTATTTGCTCAGCATTGTAAATCACCAAGTCAACAAGCGACACCTAAACAGTCTCTCCTCGGTTCCTCCGGTGCCCATCAGGTGGTTAATTTCTTCGCGAGGCGGGCTTGCGCCCGAATGCGTCTTTTGATCCTCCCTGGTCACTCATGGTTGCCATTTTAGGACGAGTTTAAAAAAGAGAGAGAGAGGAAGAGAGATCTCCGTTATTTTATACAGCTCCGGTGAATTTGAATGACTTTATTCATCTGACGCTCTCAGGAGCTGCGAGAACAAGAAGAGAGGAGGAAACAGCAGTTGGTTTAGGCAAATAAAACCAAAACCTTCATATCGATGTGTGTTGTTTTATCGAATACACAATCAAAATACATCATTGTTATTATCATCACCATCATTATTACTATGGAGTGAACACAAAGGAATATGGAAGACATTTATGGTTACAATACAATTTACGCATTAAAGTATCCTCCCTTTATTCTAACATCCATACTTACATCTGAAAGGGGGCCAAAACGACATCGCCTCAGTCCCCCCCCCTCCCCCGCCCCCCCTCTTCACAAACCAATCTGATGGAGGAAGCAGGGGAAGGAGGCTAGGTGAGGATGCAGTTGTTCACTCTCGCTCAAATCCCCGTTATGATTTTGGAGGGTAACGCCGCAAAATCCCTCGCTGTATCCACGCAGCGACCATATCCACATCCAGTACACACATCCGTGCTCTGACGCACTCTGGAGAGGACACTTTTTTTGGCTGCGTCTCGACGTCTTGTCTCAATTCAACAGGATCTATCGCCACTTCAGCCTCCGTTTCTGCTGCATCGCTTCTGGTATGCCGAGAGCAATAATGTTACCCCCTCCAGAGGAGAAAAAAAGAATGAGAAGAAGAGGAGGAAGTAGCAGGTGTGCGCGTAGCGAGTTGGCATCAATGACAGCTCCACACGAAGACAAGATACGAGGGTGGGTAAAAGTTTACCTTCGCACGGGCGAGGGGGAATGGCTTCATGGTTTAAGTCTGAGCATCGCACATCTGTCTGTCTGCCGCCGTATCCCTACCTATACTCCTGGATCCCTCCCATTGTGTGTGTGTGTGTGTGTGTGTGTGTGTGTGTGTGTGTCTGTGTGATGATGGAGAGTCTCAGTGAGAAAGTCGCTCGTGTACCGCAGCTCGTGCAGGCGGTGCTCGGTCCTCCCCCAGTGGCTGCAGCCGGTCACTGCGCACCGTGCTGCAGTCTCTCACCCGAGCTTCATCTGCCCTTCATTGTCACTGCTGGGTAGCAACCGGTGTGTTTGTGTCTCCCCACCATTAAAAAAAGTAATGCATTATCATAATATTTTAACTATGCATTTTGCAGTCACCAACCACTTTCCTAAAAAAATTAATCGGTGTTTTTGCTGTTGTTGTTGTTTATTTTCTCATATTAAATCAGAAAATGCATACATCACTTATTTACATACGTCCATATATTGTAACTTTAAAAAGTGTGGATTTAAAGCACTGGAAATACTTTTCATACAATTTCACTTCACCTAACAATCGTTTAACATTGTTTTTGTTAATATTATCACAGGAAAAAAGGTTAGCTCATGCAACAACAAAAAAAATGTTCACAGAGGCCACAAAAACCAATAATTCATGTTCGCTGTGCCTGCCCTCCCTCTGATATTTGATTAGGAGAGCACTCGAAACAGAATGCAAAGTGTTCATTAACCTCCTATGACCCAGCGATTCATTCTTGTCCTCTGTTGGGGGGACACGAGTCTGAGACCTCCACGAGCACAATTCATGCAATCTATTTGAGTCTTACTGTACTGTCAAGGAGACATCTCAGGGTTTCAAGTTTCCACATGGGCTTTCTTTTCAAAATGATGGCCCTTGCTCATATAATTATTTTACTAAATTTGCAAGAATTTCAAGCAAACTTTTTTTCATTTGGTCATTATGGGGTATCGCATGTAGAGTTTTGAGGTGAGAAATGAATTTGGGAATAAGGCTGTAACATGACAAACTGTGGAAAATGCAAAGAACTGTGAATACTGTCCATTACACAGACAGTGTTCTGTGTAGTGGACAGGAGGACTTACTCATTCCTGTTTTCAACCTATATCCACACTTCAAGAAGCAAAGGAAAGATTGAGGCAGAAAGGACTTTACTCAGAATTGTAGAAGGGGAGTCAGACTTTGTGCTGTCCGGTGATGAGGTGGAGGAGGACCAGACAGAGCAGGAAGGTGAACGCTCAGTGGAGGACATGCCATTGAGAATCCAGTTTGAACCCTACTTTGAACAGTAAATAGGTGTTCATTCATGGCATGATACCTTCAGGACTCAGAAATACTGGGTCCCATTTATAGCCAGTTAAATAAGTCAAGACAGATTCTTTAACCCCCTAGGACCTGGCGCCCACATATGTGGACATCACATTTTGGGTGATTTAGACCAAAACACTAAATTTTGTTTTTCAATGGCCTGATATCCACTTACGAGGACATTATACTGCTACTGTTCTATCAAAATTTTAAACGAATATCCTCATATGTGGCTCTGATTTTTCATTAAAACAAAAATAAGGTAAAAAAAAAAATCCTTTTTTTCTTTGTTTATACATTTATCGGGCCCCAATATGCCCAAATATCTAAGAGAAGTTAAAAATGCATGCAGTGGAAGAGTTTGGGTCTTAGGAGGCTAAGATTAGGCAGTCGTTCAAAGTAAGAAATGATCTTGATGTTTTTCTTCCTCCTGAGGCCCAAACAAGAAATTGTTTTGATACTGAGATTTTTAACCACTGTGGTTGAAAGAAACACATTACAACAAATTGTTGTTTTCAAAATAATTTATGTATTAATATATCATTTGTCGCTTTGATGGACTGCCTACTTTTGATGAATCTGTCTCGACTTATTGAATTCACTATAACTAGGGAAGTACATTTGCATCCTATGTTATCTGAGTCATGCCATCAACATGGATATGCAGAAGAATGTTTTTGATGTTAATGCTCCACCTTTCTCTGGCTTGCGTGGCTCTGATGTTTTGGTAGTGCCTATTTTCTGTTTGATGTAAACAGGGAACCACCTGTCTTGGTGTTTATGGCCACATTGACCTGTTTCATATTCCATGCAAAAAAAAAAAGAGCCAATTTCAACCCAGTTAACACTCTCAAATTTAGAAAACAATTTGATTTTTAGCAACAGAAACATAATATCTGCCAAAAAAAACCCCAAACAAAACCTTTCAGTCAACCTTCCTATGTGGCCATAAAGATGTCATTAAAAAAAAAAACCATGTGCTCTGTTGGCCTCATTCTGCCGAGATCGTGGAAGGCCTGTGTAGATGAGTAGATAATTCACATGTAACTCTAGAGTACCAGATGATCCGTTACTGCAGTTTGTTGTAGGGAAATCAAGTCCTGCAACTTAAAAACCATAATGTCTGTCCCTCCTCTACCTCATCTCCTGACAGCACCGAGCATGACTTCCCTTCACCTTCGAACAGATGCATCAGAGAGCAACTTGGGGTCAACTTTTTTCTTGGTCTCAATAAGTTATTTTGTTACTGAGCTTCAACAGCGTGACATAATCCAACGTTCTTGTCTGCCATAGTTGTAATTAATCCTGGGCAGTATAAAACACTGCAGTGTACAGAAACATCAAGTAAGACATGAATCAAATCTACATGTGCAGCCAAACAAGTGCTAACTTCTAAACTAAAAGAAAGAACATTTCAAACACGCTCACTCTTAAATTGATTTATAGAGCTGGAGTCTTTGAAGTTTACGCAGAAAACACTTTCTTACTGCTTTTTCAAAGTTTGTTTACATCAGTAAGGCTTGTCATAAGTGATAAAAAAAAAAAGAGATTTAAAACATGGTTCAAGGGCTAAAATTGTTTGCATGTAACTGGGATGTATCTCATTAGTCACCAGAGTCTGGTCAATATACAGTCATGAGAACGCATTCACAGGAGTCTATGCAGTCCAGTGAAAAACTACACACACCCTTAATGCTTCCATAGGAATTAAGGTGGTCAATAGTAACAATATGCTGCTCATCAAATGCACTGAATTAACCAGTCATGAGCAAGTGTGAGCACCTCTGTACAAACAGCAGGTTTTGGCTCTTTGTTGGTCTGAATCATTTAAATTTGTGCATTATTAAATGTTAAAGTTCACAACAGTAGATTTGGTCACCTAGTCAACTATGAACTCTGTTTGTTAAAGCATTCTAGAGTCTAATGTGAAGCCATCCGACAGCCAAAGCTTGACCAATATCAGCCCAAAGCAGGACAATGATCCCAATCTCAACAGCAAATCTGCAACAGAATGGCTGAAAAATAAAAAAAACAAGGTGATGCAATGAGCTGCTCAAAGTCCAGACACAAACCTGATTGAAACTAGCACTAGCAGTGTTGACATAGTGTCAACAGTGTAAACAGTAACCCTGCCAAGAAAGACAGAAAGACAAAATATTTCAGGACCTTTCTTGTCTAATTTGTTATATATTCTTTAAAGCGACTGCACAACAATTCATATACTGTGTAATTAGAGGTCATCTTCTCAGCCGAAACTAGCCTGCAGGAGAAAGAATGGAGAGTGCAATACAACAAGCAGGCTAACAAATTACTGTGTTAGGGTATTAATTAGTCAAACAATGCATTACTATTGACTGGGCGATTAGGAATGCATTACTTTTTTGAGTAATGAGTACTGAAAACCACAGACAAGTGGGTATAATGAATACCACAAGGATTTTTCATTAATGTGGCCACATTAGCTCTTATTTGCATACGGCTGTAAGACTTTGTGAAAATGATGATACTCCAAGCAAAAGAAGACAGATTTGGTGCATGAAACACACAATAGGCAATGTGATGATTAGTGTGCTCAAGGATGCAACTGACCAAAACAAGTAGAGGACAAATGCAGTTCACAAACATATCATATTCTGTAATTTCATCATTGCTTTGGCAATACTTTCAGCTTGTTTGTGCTGTCAGCCGTCTGTTAACGGGTCAAAGGTGTCCATAGACACGTCTTTTGGGATAACAACTGCTGTAACTTTAAATACCAGACATCACAGCACCTGGTGAGGTAACTGTTGAGTCAGTGTTATCGATTATTCACCCTATTGCTGCCGCAGATTTATGTGGATCATTTTGCACTCAGGTCTTACTCACTGCACCTTTGAAACCTCCCAGGTTTGATTGCACACATAATTAGTTTTTCTGCAGGTACTGCTGCAGGCCTAGTGCTGGGCTACAAAGCAATCAGTAGCTATAGCCCATTGAGTTCAGTCCATTTGATTCAAAGTATACATCTGAAACAAAAGCACTAATTAGGACACGGACAGCCTGTTATTCCAGATACAATATTCCTCTGAGGAATCCTAATAATCCTCTAAGGTATTTACCAAATCTCTACTTCTAATATTCCTGTTGGGATATTTTTGGTTGCTTGTGCAGTCTCCTTCTTAACTCTTTCATACGGCCATTGTGCTACATTTTGATACCAGAGAATATGAAACGAAATGTAAAACCCAATGCGTATGCTTGTGCTTGTGAAGTAATCAATGCTGCTGACAGTGCAAATCTCACTCACTGCTTCTTTAAAGAGCCTCATCTTCACAGTCTTCTCTTCTTCTCTGTACTTCTCAGATACTTAACTAAGACTTAAGTGGAGGTCTTTTCTCGTCTGTACCACATGTAAGCTTCTTTCCACCCACCGCACACATCATGCTCCCCTCAACCCCTGCTCTTATTCACCGAGTATCCACCTCAGTCAGCACCAGAGGGAGTTGTGAGGTCAGTAATAATAAGAGGTGATAGAGTGGGGATGCAAGGTGCCTTATTAAACACAAGTTTAGTTGCACTTTGAACCAGTGCCAGAGCTCATCAAAAACTCTTCTGCCTCTCACGAAGCATACCCGCTGAAAAACATCCAGCACTCCAAATTCATAAAAAGACG